TATTTTGATAAATACGATAGTAATGTCAAAAGTGTGGTTTCTGGTAAAACGTGCATATTTCTGATTGGGTAATAAAGCGTTTGCATAGAAACATTTTCAAAAATTTGTGACAAAAGACCAATTTAAATCCGTTCAATTGAGAGACTCATTTTTTACCCGTAAAAAGCGGGGTCTTGGAAAACTTTCACCAAAGGAAATCGTGTACTCCGCCTTAAACGCTCTTTCAAATGAAAGAATGCGAGGAGGAAAAAACTTATGATTTTTACTACTTTTCAAGGTATTAGTTGACAAGTTCAGTTATAAAATTTACTAAACAAAACCAAAGCTGGAATATTTAAGGCAAAACACTTTGCCAAAACACTGAGACAACAAAATGTCTATATACTAAAAAACGATAATAATTTTAACCAAATTATAACTGTTTACTTTGAAAATTATAACCAATTAATTTTACTTAGTAGTAACAAAAAGACAGTTATCTCAACAAAAATTTTTTTCAAAATAGTTCAACAAAAACATAAATGCCATGAACCCAAAATTTGAAAAAAAAAACATTACTTCCCACGCATACGGACCGGCTTAAAACATCCTCTTTAGATTTCTTTACAATATTCTACCTTCTAATGCCTGGTACCTTTGGCTTTACTAGCCAAAAGTACAAGGCAATAGATTGTTAAATCAGCAAAAATAAAACTTGCAAAAAATTGAGGACAATATTCACATCTTTGCTTACTGTTCTCCTTCTGTTAAAATATGTAAAAATTTTAAAATTTATATAACTCCCTGATAACCCAAACAATATTTCTTTAATAAATTCAATTTTCTTGGCTAGAAACTACAATCTAATTGGAGAAAACCCCGACCTCGCAGTTGCTACTGACACTCACTCAAACCATCACGAATGCAATATGGAATAGCAGGAGCCACCATATGTTTAGTAATTCAATTATTGACTCAATGGCAGTAATCAGGTTAATAATAAAGAACATTAGGAAAATTGTTACTTTAAAATACAATTATCATGGCCCTAGAAACACTGCGGACGTTTTCGGTCAATGTTTTTGTATTAAAAATGTTATTTGTCAAGTAGAGAATGGGAACCTAAAACTAAACATATGAGCTAATGTAAAACAACGGCTCGGAGTAAGATCTGCACATTTAGTAAAAATTTCGCATGCTCTACCAATATTTTACAACAACAATATTGTTATATATGCTTATTAGTTAATCACTGTCAATACTTATTTATAATATATAGTTTTTACAATAAATATTGTAATGGCGTTCTTAATTTTGTTGTTTTGAGATCGTCAGTGTTGGTGTATGTAAGAGTGCTGTGAGTATAATATTTTTCGTATAAACCTTTCTTTACCAAATGCTTTGGTTTGTTTCTAAAACGGTTTTTTTTTTTTTATAAATTGCTTCTTCTTCTTCTTTAAGTTTTTACAGTGTCTCGCTAAAATGTGTTTACTAAATTATTTAGCAGTTTCTGTATTACATTATGTGCGCATTGATTTGTTTTCAAGTAGAGTTATATTTGATTCAAGAATTCTTAAATGTAAATTTGGCAATTTTAAATCGTCATCTGATATAAAATCACATGGATTTAATGACTTAGAAAAGTTAACTTTTGATAATGATAAAAACATCCATCTAGAAATAGGTATTAGATAAAGATGAAGATGAAATGCTGAAGGAATAAAGTTCTAAACTGGATACAATATACAAATTTTTTGCTGCTAGTCTTCAATATAAGTATATTAAATAAATAGCAAATTAAATTTCATTATCTACAGTGGATTTCCAATCTTTTGCAATTTTTATTCTGTTCTGCTTATAAAAAAAAAAAAAATTTTCTTAACAGTTTTATTTATTTTTAAATAGTTTTCTGTTTTATATTTTACAACTAATAACGTGCGCAGTAACTGAAAAAAATCTCAATATCCAATTTTGATTATAGCATTGAAGTAGTGTATTCCGATGGGATATTCTTGTGTTTCGTCAGGATATTTTACTTTTATGCTTTACGTATGATGTTACATCTAAATATACTTGTTTATTTGTTGCTTACATTTTATAATTTAATTTCTTAACTTTAGATAAAATCAATATCTTTGCTATGATTGTATATATAAGTATTTATTTACGTATTTTATCTAAAACAAATATTCATTCAAGCCAGGGGAGCATGTTTCCCCATACTTTTTTTCTAAAGGACTTATTTTTATTATTAAGAAATTTCAAGATATAAAGAACTTTTTTGACAAAATCCCCCCACCCCCCAAACACACACTTACTTTAAAACCCATGTTGTCAGCCCTGATTAATGTTTCACTTCCAACCGTAGATCTTTGTGATTGTGAACAAATTGGGTAAAAATGACATTTTTTGTTGTACTGTGCAGGCCTGTTAAAGACCAAAGCAACATTGAAACCTTTTAACCGAAGGAAAACCACATTTAAAAAACTTGTTTATAAAACTTGTTAAAAAAATAGGTATGAAGGCACTTTCATAACGTTGTTTAGTTTTAAGATTAAAATAAATTGTGTCATTACTAAGCAATAAATAAAAATTAAATAGAATTTTCGCCCATTGCAAGTCAAATACAACATTCTTATAATTTACTTTAATCAAAAAAAAAAAAAAAATATTTTATGAAAGCCTTAAATAGTGAAAAGCTAACATTTTATAAACTTTTTCACTTAAACTAAATAAACGGCTTTCTTTTTAAATAAAGTTCGGATTGTTTTTTCAACAGTCACTGTTTTGTTTAAGAAAATAAGTTTTTGATTTAAAAAAAAAAGAAGAAACAATATAAAGGGTTAAGCTTACTTTGTGCAGAGGAAAAAGCATTAAAAATTTTTATTTGATTTAATTCTTATTTATGTTTTATTGTGTTTAATGTTACTTTTATATATCTATTATATTGCGAAAAACGTTATAAAAGTATTATATATTTATTATGATTATGATGCAAAATGGTTCGAAGAGTACACCAACACAAGACAACTTTATAAGTAAAACTATATATATTGTAACATTTTTTAAAATGGTTTTTAAAATAGTTTTCAAGAAATTTATTAAATAAATTTACTTTTTTCTCAAATAATATTTAGATTAAATATTATTCAGACATATGTATATGTTATTCGTGTGCGTATATGTGCATGTGTGCGTGTAAATGTGCATGTATGCGCGTATTGGTACAATATAATAAAAGTATTTTGTTTTTCTTTAAAAAAAATTCAAAATTGTTTTGGTTGTTTATTGGCACTGAGAGTAGAACTTTGTTCTAAATAATTTTAATGATTCTAATAACATATTGTTTTAAAAAATGTTAATGCACACCTGTATATAGATAAAAAGAGTAATTAATAAATTTTATGCCGTTGTCCTTACTTAAAAATGTTAAATAGCAAATTATGGCAAATTTACAACAGGGTGCATTCAAGGCCGGCGCGATAGGGGTGTGTGACACCCCCATCAATGTTTTTTAGTCGGCAAACTGGACCCTTAGTCGGCAAATTGGACCCTTAGTCGGTAAATTGGACCCTTTTAGACTAGTTAGTCGGAAATGTCGACCCTTTCGATATAGGTTAGACAGTCGGCAAATGTCGTCATAACAGTCGGCAAATTTTGGAAAACGAGGACCTTTTTTTTTTTTTTTTGTCGGCAAAAGTTGTTATGGCACCCCTTTACGTGACACCTACTCGCGCCGGCCCTGGGTGCATTGTTTTCATTTAAGAGAATACTTTACAAATCATCAAACTTTTTTTATTTTCCACAAATTTTTGCCATATTGGCAAGTTTGTTCAAAATAATCTGTTGAAATTATGCAAAGCAAACAAACCAAAATCAAATGTATGTATACATACATTTGATTTTGGTTTGTTTCATGTATACTTTACTAAACAAAATATTCTATTATGACTTGTTAGTGGGAATGTTTTGGTACCTCTTATTCTACAAGTAGTTTTAGTTCTAATATGCCTATGTTGTATCATGAACATCGTATTTGCTAGCTGCTAAATATGAATGATAAACACCCTTCTAGTTATACTGTCGATGAATTGTTTGCATCTATAACATATTTTTATCTAGCATATTCAAACCACTACAAACTCTATCACGTAACTATATTTATTACTTGTTGATGTCTTTAATTTTATGCTGTATTTATCAATTTTATTCGGAATACGAAATATATGCAATCTAAAATAATTTCTTGAAACTGAATAACCAAAACAAACACAATTTTCTAACAATCGCAATTTTATGCAACTTAAGTATTGCGAAAAACGTTTACAAGTTGATGCACTGTAAAATAGGCTACGTTAGAGTTACGTTAGAAGAAAACGTTTCCGGCCTAGTTAAATATTATGACCATGATTTTATTATGATTATGACTATGGCTTGACGAGTTTTACTCGTTATAGTAAACAAATAGTACGCTATTTTGATCTTCGTTTCAATGAAAAACTATTCGCCGGTGCTTAGTGCAAGCACAAAATTAATTGGTCGTTCTTAAACAATTTTAACAATCAAAGAAATAAAACTCAATTAAGTTCATATATGTCACTGTAAGTGTTTCCATCCCACTGACAATAGTGTCGATTATCAACTCTTTCAAAAATTAAACGATGAAACAAATAAACAGGAAAACACATTTTTTGAACTTTCAAGAATGCTAATTCTTATTTTCCAAGATTTAACAAGCAACGTTTAATTTTTTTTTTTAAGAAAAAAGAACAAATGAAAAAAGCTGTTGCGTTTAATTGAAATCAACTCATTTAGTTAAAACTGTCGCTTTATTAAAACTTTTTAAGCTGTTTAACATATATTAAAAATATATTTATTATTTGATCGCATTGTTTTGTGTAATAACATTGTAAATATTTTTTTTTGAATACATATGTACATGTTTATTTATATTGATGTGCAACAATATTATAAAAAGTTGCTGCACATTTTAAAATATCATTAATAATATAAAACTAATT